GCCCTCTCCCCCCAAATTACCTACAGAAACACACACACACACTGCATTATATAAACACACTGCATTCACTATACACACACTACACACACACACTGCATTCACACTACACACAAAGTACACAAACACACACACACTGCATTCACTATACACACACACTGCATTCACTATATACACACACTGCATTCACTATACACACAAACTACACAAACACACACACACACTGCATTCACTATACACACACTGCATTCACTATACACACAAACTACACAAACACACACACACACTGCATTCACTATACACACACTGCATTCACCATACACACACACTACACAAACACACTGCATTCACTATACACACACACTACACAAACACACACACTCTGCATTCATTATATACACACTACACAAATACACACTGCATCCACTACACAAACACACACAGCTCCACTGTCTAAACACACTGCATCCACTACACGTGGCATGTATATTTTGCACATTTACCTTTAGAAATAGTTTATTTTTTCAAAATGGTAAATGTACAGAATATTGGTATGTTATCGAAAAAATCAATATCGGTCGATCCCTAGTATGTGTGTTTGTCAGTGAGAGTGAATTTGTGCTTGTCAGTGAGTGTGTGAGAGTGTATGTGTTTGACAGTGAGAATGTATCTGTTCTGGTCAGTGAGAGTGTATACGTGTTTGTATGTGTGTCTGTCTTTCAAAGAGTATGTGTGTTTGTCATTGACAGTGTATGTGTGTCTGTCAAAGAGTGTGTGTGTGTGTTTGTCAGTGAGAGTGTATGTGTCTGTCAAAGAGCATGTGTGTCTGAGTGTGTCAGTGTGTGTATCTGTGTGTCAAGGTTTGTGTATGTGTCACTGTGTGTATCTAAGTGTGTGTATGTGCCTTTATGTATTAGTGTGTTTGTATGTGCCTATGTGTATGTGCCAGTGTGTATCTGTGGGTGCAAGTGTGTGTATGTCACTGTGTGTATCTGAGTGTATGTGTGTATTTGTGAGTCAAGCTGTGTGTGTCAGTGTGTATCTGAGTGTATGTATCTGTGTGTCAAGGTGTGTGTGTCAGTGTGTATCTGTGTGTCAGATACAGAGATACACACTGACACAGAGATACACACACTGGCACATACAAACATAGATATGCACACCTTGACACACACCAGCAGATACAAACACAGATACACACACTCTGAAACATAGATACACACACCTTGACACACAGATACATACATACACACACAAATACACACTGTGTATCTGTGTGCCACTATCGGCCAGTGTGTGTATCTGTGTGTCAGATTCATACACACTGGCACATACAGATACACACACCTTGATACACAGACACATACAAACACAGATACACAGATAGATACATACATACATACATACACACGCAAGGTGTGTGTATCCGTGTCAGTGTGTGTATCTGTGTTCCATTATCTGCCAGTGTGTGTATCTGTGTGTCAGATTCATACACACTGGCACATACAGATACACACACCTTGATACACAGACACATACAAACACAAATACATACATTTTGACACAAATATACACACACCTTGACACACAGATACATACATACACACGAACAGATACACACTGTTTGTCAAGGTGTGTGTATCTGTGTGCCATTATCTGCCAGTGTATGTATCTGTGTGTCAGATTCATACACACTGGCACATACAAACACAGATACACACACCTTGATACACAGACGCATACAGTCACAGATACACACACTTTGACACACAGATACACACACCTTGACACACAGATAGATAGATACATACACACATACATACATACATACACACACACACAGATACACACTGTGTGTCAAGGTGTGTGTATCTGTGTCTGTGTGTATCTGTATCTGTGTGTCATATTTATTCACACTGACACATACGAACACAGATACACACACCTTGATACACAGACACATACAAACACAGATACACACACTTTGACACACAGATACACACACCTTCACACACAGATAGATAGATAGATACATACACACACAAGATACACACTTTGTGTCAAGGTGTGTATCTGTGTGTCAGATATACAACTGGCACACACAAGCACAGATATACACACACCGGCACATACAAAAAAAGGGCTCAATTGTAAAAAAAAAAATTGTTGATACACTATGTCAAAGGGTTCCACGGGAAAAACTAATTGGGAACCCCTGACTTAGAGCATCAGCTGGCTGCTCTAGCCAATCAGCAATGCCCCTGTACTTTTTGTAACTCAGATTTAGAAGCCAGGTGCTGCCAGTGTGACCATAAGCACAACTCGTGTTTCTGCCCTTATAGGCTTGTCGAATTTGGTAAATATACTGTTTAAACTTTTTTGCCTTTTTTGGTCACTGTTACATTTTATATGTAAGATTTGGATTTGTATTATAATAAATATATTTAGATATATATTATTGTGTTAGTTGGTGTGCATTCCTTTCTTTTTTTGAATATGAGCTTTATTGGTATTTAAGGGAGTACCCTTTTGGAATAGCACCCACAAGCGTGGTGGCAATTATAGTAAGTATCTCTCCACATGTTGTATTTTTTATGACCATAAGATCGGCACTGGAGGCAACCTTAGGGGTTAAACCGTTAAGATATGAGTGTGCCTGGGGCCTCCTGGCTCCATAACAACCTCATTTAGATGAAGTTGTTATGGTGACCGAAGTGTTCCTTTAAGGATTTACCTTGTTTCTAGTTTGTTTAATTTGGCTTCAATTTTCACAAAGACAGTTTCTTTTTTCATAAGAATCAGTCAATTCTTCCTCAAAATAGCATTTAATTTCCTCTTAAATGTTTTGATTCACCTTACCAGCTCCTAATAAGGAGACATTCTATAAATTGGTCCCATACGGCTTTCCTTTGGAAACTAGGAGTTTAATTGCAGATTTATCTCAAGCATTTTGGTCAGAGGATTTGAAGAAGTGAGCAAAATAGAATTTAGGAAGCAGATAGTACGCTTTTACTTTTTAGCCGATGACACCAGAGTCAACATAATAATTCTTCTAAATACTATAACCACAAATGCTGCCTTTTATCCCTTGTGTTACAAAGGCAGGATAGCCACTGTGTTTTATACTTATTTTTTTGGTAAATATGCACAATACATTCACATAGAGGCAGGGACAGTGTGTGTCAGAGACTGTGTTTTAGAAGCAGGGGCTGTGTGTATTGAATACAGAAACAGCGTGTGTCAGAGGCTGTATGTTTGAGGCAGGTGCTGTGTGTGTTTGAGGTAGGGGGCTGTGCGTGTTTGAGGCAGGGATAGTGTGTGCCAGGTTGTTTGTGTTGAAGGCAGGGGCAGTGTGTGTCGGAGGCTGTGTGTATTATAGACAGGGACAGTGTGTGTTGGAGACTGTGTTTGAGGCAGGGATCTTGTGTGTTGGAAGCAAGGATAGTGTGTGTCGGAGGCTGTGTATATTGGAGGCAGGGACACTGTGTGTCGGAGGCTGTGTATATTAGAGGCAGGGACAGTGTCTGTCAGAGGCTGTGTGTGTTAGAGGCAGGGACAGTGTGTGTCAGAGGCTGTGTGTGTTAGAGGCAGGGACAGTGTGTGTCGGAGGCTGTGTATATTAGAGGCAAGGACAGTGTGTGTCGGAGGCTGTGTATATTAGAGGCAGGGACAGTGTGTGTCAGAGGCTGTGTATATTAGAGGCAGGGACACTGTGTGTCGGAGGCTGTGTATATTAGAGGCAGGGACACTGTGTGTCAGAGGCTGTGTGTGTTAGAGGCAGGGACAGTGTGTGTCGGAGGCTGTGTATATTAGAGGCAGGGACAGTGTGTGTCGGAGGCTGTGTATATTAGAGGCAAGGACAGTGTCTGTCGGAGGCTGTGTATATTAGAGGCAGGGACAGTGTGTGTCGGAGGCTGTGTATATTAGAGGCAAGGACAGTGTGTGTCGGAGGCTGTGTATATTAGAGGCAGGGACAGTGTGTGTCAGAGGCTGTGTATATTAGAGGCAGGGACACTGTGTGTCGGAGGCTGTGTATATTAGAGGCAGGGACACTGTGTGTCAGAGGCTGTGTGTGTTAGAGGCAGGGACAGTGTGTGTCGGAGGCTGTGTATATTAGAGGCAGGGACAGTGTGTGTCGGAGGCTGTGTATATTAGAGGCAAGGACAGTGTCTGTCGGAGGCTGTGTATATTAGAGGCAGGGACAGTGTGTGTCGGAGGCTGTGTATATTAGAGGCAAGGACAGTGTGTGTCGGAGGCTGTGTATATTAGAGGCAGGGACAGTGTCTGTCAGAGGCTGTGTATATTAGAGGCAGGGACACTGTGTGTCGGAGGCTGTGTATATTAGAGGCAGGGACACTGTGTGTCGGAGGCTGTGTGTGTTAGAGGCAGGGACAGTGTGTGTCGGAGGCTGTGTATATTAGAGGCAGGGACAGTGTGTGTCGGAGGCTGTGTATATTAGAGGCAAGGACAGTGTGTGTCGGAGGCTGTGTATATTAGAGGCAGGGACAGTGTCTGTCAGAGGCTGTGTATATTAGAGGCAGGGACACTGTGTGTCGGAGGCTGTGTATATCAGAGGCAGGGACACTGTGTGTCGGAGGCTGTGTGTGTTAGAGGCAAGGATATTGTGTGTCGGAGGCTGTGTGTGTTAGAGGCAGGGATAGTGTGTGTCAGAGGCTGTGTTAGAGGCAGGCAAAATGTGTGTGGTTTTGAGGCAGGAGGCTGTGTGTGTTGGAAGCAAGGAAAGTGTGAGTCAGAGGCTAGAGCATTGTGTGTTTAAGGCAGGGGACTTGTGTTTTTGGGGCCGGGGACTTGTGTGTTAGAGGCAGAGGCTGTGTGTGTTAGAGGCAGGGGGTCTGTGTTTTGGAGGCAGGAACTATGTGTTGAGAGGCTGTGTCTGTGTTGGAGGCAGGTGCTGTGTGTGTGTTTGAGGTGGCTATTTGTGTTAGAGGAAGGAGGTTGTGTGTTTGAGGCAGGGGCTGTGTATGTTGGGAATCAGTAGCTGTGTGTTGGGAAGCAAGTGTGGTGTGTGTTGAAGGCAGGGGCTGTGTGTGTTGGAGGCAGGAGCTGTGTGTGTGTTGGAGGCAGAGGCTGTGTGTGTGTGTTTTATGCAGAGGCTTGTGTGTGTTAGAGGCAGGGGCTCTGTGTGTTTGAAGCAGGGGCTGTGTGTGTTTGAAGCAGGGGCTGTGTGTGTTTGAGGCAGGGGCTGTGTGTGTTTGAGACAGGGTGTTTTGTGTTATAGAGGTTTAAACTCTGTGTTCCAGTGGCGAGGGCTGTGACAGATGTCATCCTTGTATTTTTTTTCTTGAGTCTAACACACAATAGATGGGGAGAGCCCTCCCTGTTGAAACCCCCTCCTCTTCGTTTTAGCTTGGACAAGCTGTGATCTAAACATCTGGAGCTGGCGTCTGGCCCCCTCCCCATCACACGAGTTCCATATGATCCGGAGCTTAAATGGTGCATGGTAGCCATGACAACCACAGGATGTAGAAGCCGCGGTTAACGTGGACTCTACCGACTCACAATAGCAGGGTAGGTGCACACCCACCTCCATGAGAGAAAAGGGAGGATCCCGGACCCTCTGAATACAGGAGAGACCCCAGCCAGGTGACAGCTCTGTACATCACCTTCTATAGCTGTGCCAAACAGCTTGTATCCAGGTCAGTATCCAACTCCCCTGTGTGCAGGTCCGAGGTCACTCCCTATCCCCTGTCTGTCTGTGGCTATTTGTCCATCTGTCTATCCATAACCGTGGTATGCAGTGAGACAATTGATATCATCCCCACAATTCATGTGCTGTACTCTGATTTGTTAATAGCGGGGTTCCACCACCCCATCTTTGTGGGGATTTGCTATATAGAATAGTAGAACTTGTCATTTCTATATAACCCTATGGTGTATTATGTATGTATTGCGCCCAGCTTCTGCACTAGACATTGCGATTTAGCCCTCCCACCGCTGTAGATGCAATTTAGATCAGTCATTTGTAAGGTGTGTTTTTCTGTGTCTTTTCTTCATTCCCATGGTAAACCCTTTATCATGAGTTTACCTGTTTTTACTCACTGTGGCAGGTTGCAGAGCAAAGTGGTATACTGTGGCTATATACAATAATCTGTTGAGAGGTCTAGTATTTGGGGAATCCTTGATAAATACAACTGTAGTCAAAACAATGTCAGTACACATCTATTAATAAGAGCTGTGACATTAGTGTCACTTGTTAAATAACAAATACACCTGTACTCCAGATGCTGTGGTTCTTAACTCTCATAGCCTTTAGCCAAGCAAAGCCTGGCTGTAGGCGATAGGAATTACACCCCAGCATCAGGTTAGAGTACTACCCACGGTGGGCAAGCTGCCTTATCGCTCGCTGTAATAGTAAATGCCGTTTCAAACAGTGAGGTAATAGCTCTGTGCTCACCAGAATGAAGCACCATCACAACTATTTCGATAGTGAGTGGTTTTTGGCAACCAGGCAGTGCTTATAATGCCCAGTGGCGATCAGTCCAGTGATCGCAACTAGACTGCTCTGTCTGTGCACAGAGCGATATAGGCGTCGATTTAATATTTTTGGATACGCTTTTAAACATAGTTTTTGTAAAATATAAAAATGTATATATACATAA